GTGATCTCACAGGCTGGTGTGCTTCTTCCATGTGGGCTTTGTTGTTTCTCAGTTAGATGGCCCCTTGTTTATCTTCCAGCCTATAGGACCCCAGATTCTATACATTTTGACAGCCGAGCACCGTCAGCTTTCTTCATCGCATTTGCCTATGCACCCGCTTTATCTTCAGAGTTCGTGTCGGGGTAGGCTGGTGTGCTTCTTCCATGTGGGCTTTGTTGTTTCTTACCTAGATAGCCTCCTGTTTATCTTCAAGCCTTTAAGACCTCAGATGCTATATCATTTGATAGCCGGGTACCATCAGCTTTCTTCACCACTTTTGCTTATGCACCCACTTTGTCCTCAGCGATGAGTCGGGTAAGGTTGGTGTGCTTCTTCCATGTGGGCTTTGTTGTCTCTCAGCTAGATGGCTGCTTGTTTATCTTCAGGTCTATATCTTTTGGTAGCCGGGCACCATCAGCTTTCTTCACATTTGCTTGTGCACCTATTGCCTTCACTCAGCGATCATGCCAGGAAGGTGAGCATCTCAGACTGCCGAATTGTTAGAACAAAGTGTTCTTGTGTTGAGGGAGTACTTGTGCAGGGGCCCACTGTCCGTGTGTTTTATTAATACTCAACCTATAAATATATGTACATAAATCTATTTCCCCCCATCATGAAATATATTTACATCTTTATAGATGGCAGTGAGTTTTATTGTTGTTTTGAGCCCATGCAATCTGTCATGGGACGTCTTGAACATGGCTTTGGCAAGTGTTGATTGTGGGATGGAACGACACTCTAGACAACGTCGGCCTTTCCCCCTTTGTCATCATGTTATTTGTGGATCCCAGGGGGCGAGAACTCGTTTTCTTTACATTAAGGTATAGCCCACACAAAGACCTTGAAAACAAGGTTAGAAACCAAACCTCCAACAGAGCATTTGCCATCCAGTCAGTCCTGAGAAACAGCGCAGGCCTATTATAGAGGGAGCTCTGATGGCGTGGGGGGTTATGTACTGCGCTTCTAACCACGAGGTCGGGGGTTTGAACCTACAAGCCACTCCTTGGGAGAAAAACGAGGCTTTCTATGTCTGTAAAGAGTTACAGCCTCGTGGGAACACCCAATTTGTAGAACGTTATGGAGGGCAGTGGGATCCTAAAACCCATCTGCAGAGAATGTACTCAGATGAAGCTGCTGGCAGACCCTCCATAGACAGCTCTACTATCAAAGATCTTTTTTTTTTTTGTTTTAATCTTTTTATTGGGGGCTCATACAACTCTTATCACAACCCATACATATATCAATTGTGTAAAGCACATTTGTACACTCGTTACCCTCATCATTCTCAAAGCATTTGCTCATTGTAATCGTGATTCTATTGGATCGACCCTGATACTTGGTCAGTTGACCTCCCTATTGATCCAGCCTGAAATTGTTCTAGGTGCAAGTCTTTCTTGCTTGTTCCGTGACAAAAACTTCTTCCCTGGCTGTCTTATTCGTTATTTGTATTTGTATCTTTGTACTAGTATTGCTTTATCCTTATCACCTTATTTTGGCTTTGTATGTTGTTTCTGTTGGGTTTCCAGTGTGTGAAGCGCAGAAAGAGTGGACGCACAGAGATAGTAACTAATGCAAAGGCTTATAGGGGATGTGGGGGGTTGGGGGAGCAAACAATTCATGCAGAAGGCTGAGGGAGCACTAGAACTGAATGTGATGACACAACTCACTTTAAAAGTAATTTTTAAAAAAAGATCATCTTACTGGGGGCTCTTAAAGCTCTTATAACAATCCATATATCAATTGTATCGAGCATATTTGTACATAGGTTGCCATCATCATTTTCTAAACATTTACTTTCTATTTGAGCCCATGGTATCAGGTCCGCCCCCTTTGTGACCCCTTGATAAATTAATACATTATTATTTTCATGTCTTACACCAACCGCTGTCTCCCTTCATCCACGGTTCTGTTGTTCATCCCCCTCAGGGAATGGGGGTGGGGATGTTATATGTGTCCATCATTGTGATTGGTTCCCCCTTAAAAGCAAGTTAACCATGAAAAAAAAAGAAGAAATTGATTGGGGTAATGATTTTACAATTCTTCTCAATATGATTGAACTATTGAATTGTATGATATGTGGATTTATGTGCCAATAGAAAAAAGTTACAGCCTCAGAAAACCACAAGGGCAGTACTGTAGGTGGCTGTGAGTCACAATCAACTCGATGGCCAAGCGTTTGAGTTTTATTAGAGAGGAGAACTGAGCAGGGAGGGACTGACCCTCTGCTGAGGGGGGACAGACTTAGGGAGGGGGCGGATGATGGACACCGGGAACCCAGAGGGGAGGCAGAGAGGTCAGACCAGCATGGCAGCCACATGTCAGAAGACAACTGAAGGGCCAGTAGGCACAACTGTACCGCGATCACACATGAAGGTCACAGCAAATTCATCGAGGAAAGGAAAGACAGGAGAATAGGATAAAGGAGGCAGACACATTTTATGGTCGCATGCTCACCTCAGCTCCTCTTGAGGGTCCACGCCCGTGGAGGTGGGATCAATGAGAGCGAGCCTTTACTCTTTGGGGACATTTATTGGCAGCCTTAAGACATGCATATTCAATAGTTACATGCATCACAAGGTGGGTGGTATCTACAGTAAGGTCCCTAAGCTCACAGGTGAGGAAACCTAATACCTGCATTGAAGGAAGGTATGAGGGGGGCTGGGTGACACGGAGGGGGGGGGCGGTGGCGGAAGAGAGCAAGGGGATAATGTGTGCTTCTGTAGGGTCACTTTAAGGCAGCAGAGCTGTTAAGGGAAGAATCCGTAGGGATGATATTTAAAGCAGGATCATGTACTTGGACTTCACCTCTAACTTACCATAGTGGAAGACCAGCTTTCCAGATTCCCTCTGTGATAAGTTAGGGAAATAGGCCTCATGGTTCCCTCAGTGTTAGGTTCCCACCGCCATAGAAGCACTGAAGATAGACTGAGACAGGTCTGATGATGGCTGAGGCATGGGCAGAAGTCCCTGACTGGCACAATTAGTTAAGCCCTCAACTACTAACCCCAAGGTAAGTGGTTCAAAGCCTGCCTCCCCCCAGAAGCACTTCAGTAGAAACACTTCTGGTGCTTGGCTTCCGAGAGGCCCCACCCACCACCACTGAGTTGATTGTGACTTGTAGTCACTCAATCAGTTCGGGACCAGACAGCCTCAACTTTTTCCCACAGAGGGGCTGGTGGGTTTGAACTGCCAACCTTTTGGGTTAGCAGCCTAATGTCTAACCCTCAGCACCACACAGCCATGACAATCTAGGGAGGAGTCCTACTCAGGTTGCCAGGAGCCAACAGTGGGGTGCTAAACATGGGTGCCAGAGAAAGAGGGCTCTACTCCCAGATGCCTGGGAAGTTCCTGGGAAGAGTGAGTGTTCAGTCCCCTGTCACTCCAGGTTCCCAGGAGAGGTCACCTTCCCCCTGCTCTGTCTCCCCAGGACCACGGGCCCCCTGCCTCCCTCAGCTGTGGACCAGGGTCACCGGCTCCTGATCCGGACTGTGGACGAGTCGGTCAACACAACTTTTATCTGCAGTGTCACCAACACGTTAGGGACTCGCTGGGCAGAGAAGACCATTCAAGTCAAAGGTAAGCAGCTCCCAGGGTCGGGAGACAGGGGGCCCAAAGTCTAAAATTGTCAGGGTAGCCAGCCCTAACAAACCATCACAGGCCAGCGGGCACAATTGTACAGCGATAATATATAAAGATTAATAATGAAGTCATGGAGAATGAGAGATAGGAGAGAGAATAAAATAAAGGAGTCTGACACATTTTATGGTAGCATGCTCACTTCGACCCACTTGATGGTCCACGTGGAGATTGGAGACCGAGAGGAACATGAGGGAGAGAGATTTCTAACCAAAGCTTATATATACTTAGGGGACGTGCAAGCCACCTGATAACAGGTAATGACCTACGTCACAGGAAGGGGTTGTAGCAAAGGCCATGCAGTAATGGGAGGGGAAGGATCTACGGATGCATATGCAATAGGAAGAGGAAGGATTGGGGTACACATGTGACAAGGTGGGCGGATCCTAGATGCAACGTGCAGCATAACCTTGATTGTCCTTGAGCTGGAGACTTGATTTATTCTAAGCTTTCTAAGGAAAGGAATCCACTGCCCTTAACGGCAGAGGGAACTCAACCTAAACAATAGTGTCTGATTGCTCTGGATGGCTGAATGCCTACAGGGAGACTCTCTAAGCATCTGACCTCCCACCATGTTCTGGCAAGCAGCCTCTTAGGTTAGGCATATATTGGGGGGAAAAGCTGGGGAAAAGTGTTTTTATATCCCACATAAAATGACCCCAGGAATCCCTTGAGAGGAGAGTTTTGGAGGTGCTCCTAGCTGGGGGAATCTTTCAGCTCTCTGACCCCCATCCTTCTCTCATGGAAGGGCCAACAGGGTCAGCCTTATTCTCCCGGTAATTCATGATCGGTACCATTGGTCCCTGGACACAGCCCCATTCACCCACGGCCGACTTTCATTGATCCAACCTGGATCACAGCCCACTTATGAGCCAATCCCTATGGCCAAGCTGGGGTTCTTTGTGGGAAGTCTCCCCTCCAGGGACTGACAAAGGCTTTTCCAACTGTATAAGCACAACTATTGTGCTTGAAAGAGCATGACTCAAAGCCACCGAAGTCAAAAAGGGACCTTGTTAGGAAAGGCACACCTTCAGGTGGGGTTAGATCCAGGTGCACCAGCTGTGTAGCCTGGGAACTTTGTTTCCATTGCTTGCCTCTTCTTTCCTCTACCCTGGTGTTCTTCTCAGACAGACTTTGACCCTTAGGGGAGGCAGAGAGGCCCTGAACAGCTTCAGGCTCACAGGCCACTAGCTCAACTCCCCAGGGAAAGAATAAGAGGGCACATACATTCCATAGCCCCAGCCAAAGCCCCAGGGTTGACTCTTATTGACCCAGCTTAGGTCCCTCCCATCCTGTAAACCAATCACAGTGGCCTGGGGAGAATGGAGTGCTCTCATTAGCCAGGAGACTGGGCCAAAGCCCCATCCTAGGAAAGAGAGGGTGGGTCCAGACCATGTGAACCTTATAAACTAAGGAAGGTGGAGGAAAGGCAGCTCCTTAAGGGAATTATGGAGTGCCCGGTACAAGGATAAGGAGTCGTTGTTTGGGGGACCGTGAAAGTCCACCCAAAAGTCTTCTTAACTAAATGCCTTCTTCTTCTTCTCAGGCAAATCTGGGGAGCAGTCCACTTCATTCAACCTGCATTGGCTCATCATCAGCATCAGCATCAGCATCAGCATCCTGGTGATATTAGTGATAGCGTTCCTGCTGGTTTACAAAATCAGGTGCAGATGTGAGTCTCCTCCTCCTCTGCCCCCTACCCCCACCCCCAATGCCTGTCTGCTTCTCAAGTGCCACTGGGCAGACCACACCGCCCACCTGGCCATTCACAGCAGGCATAGTCCCGTGGCAGTCCCCAGGCGCCCCACATCTGTCACAGTGGGGATCCTGGTCTCCTTGTGCGACCCTGTCACAGAGATCACAGGTGAGCGTTGTCTGAGAGCAGAGCTGGGGAACCTTACAGCTGGGGTGGCTGAAAGCCCACCCCAGGGTATCCACCGTGTAGATGGCTGAGGTTCCTTGGCTCCTTGTAGGCAATCCTCACGTGCTGTCAGTCCGCCCTCTCCCTGGGAGTCTCCTAGTTTAATCTACTTTTTTTTCATATATATATATCCGTGTCCAAAGAGGATCGTATTGATATTGGTGTGTTATTGCCATTGAGTTGATTCCAATTCAGGGTGGCCCTACCTATATGGGCAGAGTAGACTAACTGCCCCATGGAGTTTTCTTGGCTGTTATGTTTACAAAGCCAATTCCCAGGCCTTTCTTCCACTGGGTAGGTTCGAACCACCAGCCTTTAGGTTAGCAGTTCTGAAGGCAAACCTGCCATTGAGTCGTTCAAACTCATAGTGACCCTCTCATAGCAACCCTATACTGGGGTTCTGAGACGACCCATCTTTATGGGACCCATCTTTCTCATGCGCAGCAGCTGCTGGGTTTGAACTGCTGATCTCTTGGTTAGTAGCCCTGTGCGTAACCCACTGTGTCACCAGTTGACTCTGACACAATGTGGCTATTATATAGGGCTTCTAAGGCTGTAAATCTTTATAGGAACAGTCTCACCTTTCTCCCTCAGAGCAACCAGTGGGTTTGAACTGCCGACCTTGCTGTTAGCCATCCAACATTTACTGAACCATCCCACCAGGACTCGGTAGGGAACACTGTTACAGGTCTAAGAACCCCACCCAACCCAGTGCTCGCAAATCAATTCTAACTCATAGCGAAGCTCTGAGACACAGCGGAAGTGCCCCATGGTGTTTCCAACACGGTTGTCTTGATAGAAGCAGATGGCCCCAACTTCCTCCCGTGGAGGAGCTAGTGAGTTCTACCACCAGCCCTTTGAAGCTGGGAAATCCTTAGCCACTGGGCCACAAAGCTCCTCTCCTCGAGGAGAAAGCCAAACGCAAGCCATGGCCATCAAGTCGAATCCAACGCATGGTGACCCTGCGGAACAGAGTGGAACTGCCTGCTTGGGTTTCTAAGGCTGCCTAGGGGTTTTGAGTTGGGCTGCTAACTGCAAGGTCAGCAGTTCAAAGCCATCAGCTGCTCCGCGGGAGGAAAGACAGGGTTTCTTACTCCCGTCAGTAGTTACAAAAACTGTCCTCACAGGGGCGGTTCATCCCTGTCCTATAAGGTTGCTGTGCGTCATTATTGACAGGATGGCAGTGAGTTTGGGTTTTGTTTTGGGGGGTGTTATTTTTTGTGGGGGAGGTACACTCCACCACAGCCGCCCTTGTTTCTAAATATTGTCCCTCATTCTCCTGTCTCCTCAGGTATGAATCGCAACAGGGCCGCTGCGAACAGAGGAGGTGCCAATGGGGTGAGTGCTTGGGGCGGATCCCCAGGGGCACTGGGGAGGGTGTGGGTGGCCCACACAAACCATAGATCATGGCTGGTGGCCCTCCTGGGGAGGAGGAACCCTAGTGGCATCGTGGTTAAGCCCTGGGCTGCTAACTCAACGGTCGGTGGTTCGAACCCACCAGCCACTCCATGAGGGAAAGCTGGGGCCATCTAATTCTATAAAAGATGAGTGCCTTGGAGAAGCCAGGGGGCCAGTCCATCCGGGCCTCCAGGGTCGCTGTCAGAATCAACTCAATGGAGGAGTTTTCATTTGTTTCCCAGGGAGGGGACAGATGTCTCCGGCCACCTGCAACTCTTAACCCCAGCACAGCCATGTGTGGCTCTTGTGCCCTTTACCTAAGGTGACCAGACGTCCCGCTTTTGGCGGGACAGTCCCGACTTTTAACAGTTTTTCCCACGTCCCGCGGCATTTTTTAAAAGTCCCAATTTTTGGAAAGAATGCACGAAAACCTAGGGTCTACGGTTTTCGGCTGCCATGTGGCTGTTTCGCCAGGATGGGAGTTTTATCAATGGTGTCCCGCTTTACCAGTGTTAAAATCTGGTCACCTTACCTTTGCCACCAAGTGAATTCCCACGCCCAGGGTGCAGAGTAGAGCTGCCCCATCAGAACGGGCAACGTTTGAATTCTGTTGGATTTCTTTTGTTTGTTGTTTGTACAGTGTTTTTGACTACTCATTCTCATACATTGGCCCCGTTGAAGCCTATTGGAAAGAATGGTGCAACCATCAACATCATATCAAGACCCTTGGCTTCACTTTGGTCCTTCCCTGGAATTAGCTCTCCGCTTCCCCACAACCTCCCCTGAGGGCTGTGACCTTTGGGAAGCAGATTGTCAGCAGTTTCTTCTAAGGAGCCTCTGGTAGTGAGAAGCCATCCACCTGGTCGAGTGCCGCTTCTAGACTCCCGGAATCCCCTGTAATGTGCTGAAGTACCCGTTTCCCAGAATCCCCTGTAATGTACTCAGGGGCCCTTTTCCTGGACTCCACTCTCTGAGAGCCAAGGCTGGTGGATGTGTGACAGGGTAGGGGATCTGCATGTGTGTAAGTGCTTCCCTCCCCTAGCCCCAGAGTGGCCACACCTGGAGAAGGCTGGCCACACCTGGAGAAGGGGAGGGAAAGGAACACCAAGCCCACTGCCGTCAACGAGTTGATTCTGAGGAAGAGCGACCCAGCCTCGACTTTCCCCCGAGGAACAGTTAGTGGGTTTTGAGCTGCCAATCTTGAGGTTAGCAGCCCAAGACATTATAGCTCACCCGGCCCCTTTTGGTGAAAGTTGAGCATCCTGCCCACGGCTGTTGGCACTTTGAGTCTCCAGTCTGATTTCCCGTGAAGGGGCCCCTGAGCTGACATCTGACAAAGATCTCTTCTTGACTGCCTCCTAGTCAAATGCAGACCCCTCGCTCCGCCTAAACCCTGTTTCTGGAGAGGCCGGGAGAAGAGAGATGCTGGCGGATGAACGAAGAGAGAGACTGGAGCTGCCAGGGCCCAGCCCCCACTCCCCGGGGAAACACTGCCTTCAAAGACAGTAGCCAGGCCGCCGGAATGTCCCCTCTCCTTTGCAGGCTTGGGGCTCTCCAAAGCCTACCCGCAGTGCAATTCCATGGGGAGACCAGAGAGCTCAGTAAAGCTAACAGCTCAGGGACAGCACAGGGGCTTGAAGAGGTCCTAGCTCCACCTTCCAGTGCCCCCCGATGGCATGTGTGTCCATCAGAACCCTCTCCCCAAGTCCCTTACTACTACACTGGGCTGCATCGACTGGGCGGGGCATCCCACTATAGGCCCAAGACACCACCCCACCCCCACCGCTACCACCACCCCACCCCACCCCACCCATCCCACTAAACAAATCCCACCCAATAGTATGTTCCTCCTCCAGAGAGGCCCCCATTCAAGAGAACGTACGAAGTTCTAGGCACTGAGTCTCCCGGGAAGGACTCCTGGGTAGCATGGTCGTTAAAAAGCCATGCCAGCGACCAGTCGGTTGGTGGTTCAAACCCAGCAGGCACACTGTGAGAGCACGCCGTAGCAGTCGACTTCAGGAAGCATTAAAACTCAGTCTGAGCTGGTCGCCCAAAGGTTGGCCAGTTCGAGCCCAGCCAGAGGGATCTCAGAACAAGGCCCAGAGATCACTAGCCATGTTCTGGAGCCATGTTCCTCTGTGACAATCCACGGGTCTCCTTGAATTGTTTCTGTGTGTGTGTGTGTGTGTGTGAACTTTATATCGAGTTCCTTATTTTTGTTATAATTTAAATCATTTTAATGTACAGTCTGGGAAACCCTGTGTGTGTTTGGAGTGGGGGGTGTGCGTGTGCGGTCCCCTCCCCCCCATCTTACCGTGGCTATGGAGCCCTGCTCAGCCTGCTCACTCACCAGGTTGTGTGCACTGTGTCCGTGTCCCCTTGTTCCTTCTCTCGACATACCTCCCAGTGTCTCCGTGAGACGGGAGCCTGACGATCCAAGCTGCCCGTCACCACCGAGCCAAAGAGCGGAGATGGGTTGAAGCATTTCACCAGTGCTCTGGGCTGCGACCTCACCAGGGCAGCGGTTGGAAACCACCAGCTGCTCCACCATAGAAAGACGAGGCTCTCCACTCCCAGAAGAAGTGACAGTCTGGAAACCTCACCAGGGCCGTTGTGCCCTGTCCTGTCGGTTGGCTACGGGTTGGGGATTGACTCCGTGGCAATGAGTTTGGTTTTATTTTGATGCCAGCCAGCTGAGAAAGTGGTTGACAGAGACCCTGAGAAACCACCTTTCACAACTCATCTCAAGCCAACGGGTCTCATGGGCTAGAGGAGGGAAAACTAAAACCGAACCCACTGGCATCCAGTCAATTCCGACTCCTAGCAGCCTTAGGGGATAGAACAGCCCCTATGGGTTTCCAAGACCCATAGGAACCCTGTAGGACAAGATCGAACGGCCCCTGTGTGGTTCGGAGACTGTAACTCTTTACGGGAAGAGAGAGCCTTGTGGTTCGTGGTTTTCAAACTGCTGACCTTGGGGTTAGCAGCCAAACACATAACCATCACATCACTAAAGGGGGTGAAAAGGACACCGGACTGAGGCCATCTGTGTAGGGACTAAGTTGAGCTGCCCCCTACCCCACTACATGCACACGCACATACACACACACCTGGATACTTGAAGACCTTGGTGTTTTTGTTGGGTTTTTTCCCTACCTGCCGAAGTGCCTGGAATTCAGATGTTCACTTTAGGGTTGAAGTAGGTAGTTTTTTGTGCCAACCTGGCCGATAAACACACGTGGGATTAATGGAAGGGCGGAGAGCTAAATGGCTCGGTGAGCCTCGCCTTTCTTGTCTCCTGCTCTTTGATCATCGGACCAGTGTGCGGCTGCCTTTTTGTTCTTTGCCTCAATTTGAAAGCTACACTACCTGTGGGACACCTAACCCGTGGACTGAGTCGCTGTAATTTGAGTTTCCATCAAGACCTGCTTCACCACACCATTGGGATTTACATCTCTTGAGCTGGGGACTGTCGGACCCTGTCATCTGGCTGACTGTTGGTGACCTGCCTTGCTGTTTGCTGCCTGTGCCCGGATGGCCTGAATTGCTGTACAGAGGACTACCCAGCCGCCCTCAAGACTTGAAGGACTGCCAGGGTCTCACAACTATCTCATGGGAGTGAGTGGCACCGAGCCATTTGTATTGCTTTATAATTTAATTAACTGTTTATTTCTTATGTTGTGGGAAACAGAAGGATTTCTCCCAAGTTGTCTCACCCAAATATATGCCAAACTTAGCCGCTTGCGGGTGACTATACACTTGGAGGTCATCAGAAGTAGATCAGGGGTCATTCTCCCTAAGGGTTATGAGCCATCTAGACCAAGCAGACATCACTGTTTATCCCACAAGTATGGCTTCTGATAAGTTGTCTGTTTCCTTGTAGGAGACCCCAGAAAGGTCCAGCCCGCCTAAGGATGACCAAGGATAGGCTGCCATCATGAGTCTAGGGACCACCCATCTTGTCACATGTATCCCCCTAGACCTTCACATTCCTATGGGCACACTCCTAGCTCATCCCCTTCCTGTCATGCTTATGCCTATCATGCATCCCCTTCCTACAATGTGTATGCCTATTGTACTGTCCCTTCCTGTGATGTGTGGTTACCTGTAATCATGTCCCCCGAATGAGATATAACCCTTGGTTAGCAATAAAGTGGGGGCTCTCCTGCTCTCGCTCCCAAGGCTCTCTCCTCTCATGGCTGGGCTCCCCCCACGATGACCACCAAGCAGGGCTGAGATGAACGTGCTACCATGAATTGTGTATGACTCCGTTATTGCAATCTCTACCTCTCATGCTCTCTATGACTTTACTATAATCTTTACTTATTATCGCTGTACAATTGCGCCTACCGAACCTGTGATGATTTGTGGGGGACCCTCCTCCCCCCACATTATGTTATATATAAACACATATATAATTATTAGCATTCTGGTGTTGTTTCTCTAAAGAACCCTAACACAATTACTTTCTATTGAGCCGTTGGTATCAGCTTTTCTCACCACCACCCCCTTGTGACCCCTTGAGAGATGATAAATTATTGTTTTCATATCTCACACCAACCGCTGTCTCCCTTCCCCCATGGTTTCTGTTGTTCTTCCCCCTGGAGGGGTGTGTGTGTGTGTGTGTGTGTTGATCATTATAGTCCTTCAAATCTTGAGGGCCGCTGGGTAGTCCTCTGTAAAGCAATTCAGGCTCTCTGGGCACAGGTAGCAAAGAGCAAGGCAGGTCACCAACAGTCAGCCAGGTGACAGCCTAACACAAGGGTCCTCCGGATGGATTAGCATTGCTCTGTTTCTGGGAGACCAACGTCAAGGCTTTCTGTGACTCAACAGAGACTTCCTTTCTATGAATCAACGGATGCTGTGCTATTCATTCCTCCTCTTCTAGTGGTTCCCCTTGGTTCCTGTTAAGAAAAGGCACGTTTCAGCAATGAGTGAAGTTTCATTCGTACAGACTCTAACCTTCCCCCACGGGTAATCATTACACCTCAGGGTGGTGAGATTTGGTGTTTTGTTTTGTTTTTAGGAAAATACTAATTTTGATGTTCTTTTGTGTCGCTGAGAATCAGAAAGCTTGCAACTCACTGCCTTTTTTCTTAGCTTTTTGAACTTCTTTCTACAGCCTGTGAGGAGACATTTACATGATTTCCCAGGTCAGGCTTATATTGAGTAGGAGGACAAGAAGGGGTAGCAGGCTGGCTTTTATTAAGGCCCAGATCTCTTGTGACCAGAAGAACAATGTTGATGACCAGTTCGTTAATTCAGGGAGAAGGGGGACTGTAAGTGGGTCAGGTGTCCTAAAGCCAAGTTGTGCCTTATCTTGTGGTAGTTACATAATCTAGTGTCAATTTGAGGATTAAGAATCTAGGGGTGAAAAAACAAACAAGAATATAGGGGTGGAGTCAATCTGGAGGTAGCCAATGAGGCCTCTGTGTGGGCATGGCCTTCTCCTAGGAATTCTGGGAACGATATTTTCCTCCTTGGAGGTGGGAGACAGTCTCACACACAGCTCTCTCCCAGAAATGATGCTCTATGGACAAGACACATGGCGCTACGCCCTGGGAGCTGGAGAAGCCATGTGGACCTACCCTGAGGCAACCAGACCTCTGGAGCTGGAGAAGCCATGTAGAGACCCCTGCCAGCGCTGAGATGCTTACAACGCCACTGGATCTAAAGACTTTCTACCCACTGGCCTGTGATCGTCCTGCATTTGGCATCATTGCATGTATTTTGTGAGTCTGAAGAGGACTTTATCGATTGGTATCAGACATATGGGCTAATATCGGACTTTCGGCCTTGGACTGGACAGAGTTGGGATGTTTTCTGCATATTTAACTGCTCTTGTAGATAGACATATGAGTGTCCATGGATTTGTTTGTCTAGTCTACCCAGACTGACACACTTGTACAACCGTGGCTGTTTCCTCTCTTTGCTATTGTGCCCATTGCTGCACTAAACACAGGTGTACATCACCCTGTTCGTGTTAGGACATAGTCCAGATAACATACCATTCAATAGTTCAGTCATCTCCAACAGTGTAGTACAATCGCTACCACAACCATCTTCAGAACACCTCTATGTCTCTTAGGGTATACATACACAGTAGGGAGGTGGCTGGGTCATAAAGTAACTGTGTATGCATGGAAGGAAGCACCCAACTGATCGCCAGAGTGGTCGCACAGGTCCACAGTCTCACCAGCAATGTATGCTCATGCCTCTCCAGCACTTGTAATTTTTTTAATTTTGGTAAAAGCATCGGGTGAGCTGGTACCTCCTTGTTGTTTTTGTTTGTATTTCTCTCATTGCTAATGAATGTGAACATTTCTTCACAGGGTGGCTGGCCCCCTGAATGTTGTCTTTAGTCATTCGTTTATTCATGTCTGTGCTTTTTTTTTTTTTAATCATTGTATTGGGAGCTCTTACTGCTCTTACAGCCTTCCCTTCATCAATTGTAGAGAGGGAGAGCCATATTTATGGAGGGTTTAGGGAAATATTAGTACTGACTTCATTTATTGAGATAGGCTGTGCCTCTACATAGAATATGCTTTTTTAAAAACCGAGATAATGAGCTGATCCCAAGGGTTCAAGTAGAAAGTAAATGTTTTGAGAATGATGATGGCAACAAATGTACAAATGTGCTTGACACAATGGATGGATGGGTTGTGCTAAGAGTTGTATGAGCCCTTAATAAAATGAATTTTTTAAAAAGAAAGGAAAAAAAGAGTGGTACAAACCCCGATAAAATGATTTAAAAAACAAACAAACAAGATAATGGCACATAACCACACCACCCCCTCCAGCGGGGAGAACAACAGAAACCACGGGGGAAGGGAGACAGCAGTCGGTGTGAGATATGAGAATAATCATTTATAATCTATCAAGGAGCCATGG